AAATGCGAACAGGAGGTTGGGACATGGGCAGGAGCCAAGGTACAGGATGGCAGGATAAACACTTGGACCAGCTCAAGGACTGTAGGATGGAAATAAATCAAAGGATGGATATTGAATGACAGACTGCAGGAGCAAAAGGGGTTGAACAGACCCAAAAGAGGACAAAGTCCAGCTGAAGGGTGAACAGGGATCTCAAAGCAGTTGCATCTGATACTGCAGGACTTGACACAGTGTTTGTACAACTCAGGAATTTTAAGGTGCCCGACAAGTAGTTGTGAAACCCTCCGTCATTTTCTGGTGCTAGGTCTGCATACTGTTGTTATTTTCTTTCACACTCATTCATTTGCTCGAACAGCACAGGAGTGTGCTATGAACCTAAAAACTGTGCCTGTCTGAGAGGCCTGTGCCTGTCTGTTTTTCATATTGTAATAAATCGAAACCTGAAGTCCCTGACGTACATCTACAGGATGTCTCTATGAAAGGCATCTCAAAAAACCCCAACATATTTACATGTTTCTATTAAGTTTCTATTTCTATATTTTTACATGTTTCTATTTAAGTTTCTATTTAAGAAACTTAAATAGAAGTTTAAAAAAGGCTTAAAAGTTACTCAACTGTAGATAGAAGTTTGGGGAACTTCTTTTTGATTTTAGTTTTTTGAAAACCCAAGACAAACACGGTGTTGAAGGCACTTTACAGAGGTAAGTCCTTGAAAGCTAGGAAATACTTGCATGAAAGTTTCTAGTACAACCTGCTTTCCCTTTCCCTTCTCCCTTTATTTCCAGGATTGTGGCAAAATCTTTAGTTACACCGTGGTATGCTTTTCCCAGTACAAGAACCTGTCCTTATTCGATGCACAGAAAAGACAGAGTTCCAGTAATACTCCAGGGTGATGCAGTCATCTTCAACTTATCATGGAAGAGCAAGTCTTCCATCAGTCAACAGTGGTACAAACATCCTATTCATAGTATAGGGACAGTGTCCAAGGCCAGGTTGGATGGGGCTCTGGGATAGTGGAAGGTGTCCCTGCCCATGGCAGGGGGTTGGAACTGGATGAGCTTTAAGGTCCCTTTCAACACAAACCATCCTTTGATTTTATGACTAGGATGAATGGTTTCCTATCAAATAAAAATCAGGGTTGCTTCTATCTTGGGAAAACTGGGAATTTTATCCCTGTCCATTGGGGCAGTGGTGGAAATGGCAGCGTGATGCCATTCATGGGTGCCACTAGGTGCCTGATCCCTGCTCATCCTTTTGCCATCTGAGGCTTTGAGATCTGCAGCTGCACAAATTGCATAGTTTCTTCCCTCTTACAGTGTAATGGGAATGTGAAAGCCACATTCAGTGAAATCACTCCTCTTTCCTATCATAAGTGCGTCTGGCATTCTGAAAAACAGAGAGAGAAACATTTCAGACCCACGCCTTCACTTGGAGTAGAATAAAGAGGCTGAAGGCGCCAAAGAATCTGGCCACTAACATCTGATGCCATAAGCAGTTGACTGCTCTGATGCCTGGAAGGATGTTAACAAATATCCTTCAGGTTTGCTCCTGTTTTATGGTAACCAAACAAAGCAGGAGAGCTCCTGTTTCCAAGTGGTATGCCTAGCAGCTTCAGGGCTTCAGCTAATTCTGCTTCCCTCCCCTGTTCAGCACTCTCATTTATGTATTTATGGCTCTGAGTAAGTGAAGAAGTATGAAGCTGGCTGTAATTGGTACTGTGCATAAGTGTAAATTACCATTTCAAATGGGGATGCTCTGCCAGCTATTACATTTTATTTTATTTTTTTTAATTTCCCTGTCTATTGCTCTTTTTAGACCATGGGGATTTATTTTGTGTATGTGGAATATTTTGGCTCCTGGGAGATGAATTCTGCCTCAGGGCCTCCAGGCTGTAGGAGGTTTCATTGTGCCTCTCAGGCTGCATGTTAAGGTGTTGATGGATGATTTCAGAGGCGTTTTGATCACCAAAATATACTGCAGGTATGGAGGGCTGTTTGGTTTTCTTCTTGTTTCTTCATTTGATGTGGATGAGTACTACAAGATGTCACACAAGCAAACCATCTCTCATTGTTCTCCTGGTTGCCCAGTGCCTTCTCCCCATGAGCCAGATGGTCAAGCAACACCTTCAGTGCTTACTGGGCAAGCTTCAATCCTGATGGGATTTTTGGAAAAGGGATATAAAAAGCACTTTGATACTGGGAGCCACTGGCCTTCAAGGAAGTGAAGAAGTCAGAGGGGAGGAGAAGCTCCATATCTGGGAAAAGTGCCTGAATGTGGAAAGCAGAAGATAGGGGTAGCCCAGAAACCATGGAAGAGAGAATTGGAAAGTTCAGGAGAAGATGGGGTGACTGGGAAACACAGAAAGGCAGGAAGTGGGTAAGAAGTTCTGCATGCGCAAGACTCAAATCTAGATTCCAGCTTGGGGCATCTTGGTTTTGGAGTGCTTATCCTGAGAGTCTCTGAATTTGGCTTTCCTGAGAAAATCCTACGCAGATGTGATTTTGTGGCAGCTGCAGTGCTGAGCACATCAAACCCTGCAAAAGGGAGCTAAAGAGAGCCCAAAGGGTGGCAGTCTTACCCAAAATGCTGAACCACCTTCAGGGGTGTGTAAGACATCCAAGGAATGGTTTGGCTTGTTGAAAATGAACTGTTGTGCTGCAGATTCACAGGTGGCTGTAAGGACCAAGCTTGGGAGGACAATGTCCCTCCAGCTTCTGGAGCAGGATGGGAACCCAGAATCGGGTGTCCTGCTGTGCCAGTCAGCAACAATTTTTTTCCCATGTATCTATGAAGGGATTTTTGTGCACCTGGGCATTAGTGAGTGATACAGACTGGGGCACAATGTGGTCATTGTGAACTCTTGAACCACAGTGATATGCCATACCTGAGCTTGGAGATGTGAACGCTGTCACTAAGCTTCCCTGTGAGGTGGTGGCATGTTTTCAGGTAGCAGTGTCCTTGTGGAGTTGGTTGGAGACCCAGCAGCCAAATCTCTCTGTTATGGTACAGCACTGTGGCTTTTGGGAGTGCTGCTCTGGGGCTCACCTCTTGCACCTCCCTCACATCTCCATATCTCCCATTGCTGTTCCTCTCTAGCTTTGCAAACTGTGTGCCATTGGGAGCTGCTGGTCCAGCAGGATCCGCACGGAGGCTGAATGGTGGCAGCTGGCATCTCCTCTTAATATAGAAGTGAGGGTGGGGCTGCACAGGCACTGTGGTGCAGAGCACTTTGGGAACAGCCTGCGTTCTAAAAAGAGTTGAGTTACACGTTGCTTCTGGATTTAATACTGAGACTAAAGTGCAGGGTAAGTGCACAGAGGGAAAGCCAGTGGCTTCTGAGGGGCTTTCAGGAGCGAGCACAGGCAGCGTGGAGCAACCTGAGCGCCTGCTCAGAGGTCAGCTGTGGTGGGAAGGGATTGCTGATGGGACTGCACCTCAGCTGTCTTTCACAGAATCACAGAATTCTGTAACACTGCTCGCTCAGGTAACGTGAAGACCAGAGCTGTGGCAGCAAAAATGACTCCAGGGGCTGCAAAATCATCCTGCAAACCGTGGTGGAACATTGTTCCTGCTATGCTGCTTGGAGCTCGCTAGTTTAAACCCAGCACAGGGTGAGCTCAGTCACAGCAATGTAGACATGCCCTGTATCCTCTTATAAACCTTGGGAACTTTTCCAACCATCCCTCTGAAAAGCTCTTTTTAAAGGATTTCTCAATAGTTAACCATGAAAATGAATAAATCATAATTATGATTCAAATAATCCCAGGGATGAATAATTCATTCTAATAATTGAAAAAGAAATTTCAGCGAGAAGCATTTTACTATTACAAAGATAAACATCGATTCATGATTTTTTTTTTTTAAAAGAAAAGGTGTATTCTCTGGGTAATTGTTTTTCCTTACCTCAATTATGTATAATATGAAACAAAAATATGCTTCTTTGTGAGACAGCCATCTTCACACAAAGGAAAAAATACGCTTCCTTTACAACAGCCATCTTCAATGCTAATGAGTGAGAAATGAAAAAGGATTAAGTGACATTTAAATCATATTCACCTCCTTGCCGAGGACAGAGCCAAACAAGGCAGCCACAGTCAGCTGGTCAAAATGTCCAGAGCCTGAATTGGGTAGTGCCAGCTAGTTTGGAGCAACTGGGAGGAGGGGTAAAGAGGGGAATGTTTTCCTCTAGATATGTGCTGCTATGAAATAGTGTAGGCTAAGGACATGGCTTGCAGCCAGCAAAGGTATCAGATACTATGATTATAAAAGCCTGGTTAATAATATTTAGCACTGACAAAGGGCTTTCAAGTGAAAGACAGACACTTGCCCTGGGAAGGATGGAAGCAGACTCTCCCGTTAGCCCCATTTTCGAGTTATTTCAGTAGAAAGTACACGGTCGTGAGTTTCCCTATGCTTTCAGAAGCTAAGTGTGACATGGATGGAGCAAGCCACAGGTTTCTAAAGCCAAAAGAGCTGGTAGTCTGCCTCTGAAATGCAGATTTGGCTCTCGGGGAGACTTAGTGCTGACCGGGTGGTGGTAAAAAAAAAAAAAAAAAAAAAAAAAGAAAAGAGCAAGCTCACCTGTTTGGTACCTGGGAGAAGGGGCAAACTCTGTCCCCTGCAAATAAGAGGAAGGAAACTGAGGAAACTGCATTTACCCAGTTGCAGTTTGCCGTGACAGGTTGTCTCCATCTGCGGATGGTCCGGTGCCACCGCCGCGCTTGCATCATGGCAATGACATTTATAAATGGAGGTCCGCGAGCCACAGGCATGGAGCGCCTGGCTCAAGGTCAACTCCAGCCTGCGGCAGGGACGGGAACAGCACCGAGGTCCGCCGGGTCCCACGGCCGAGACCTGAGCGCTGTTGGACAGCCCCCATCGGGGGTTTGGCTGGAGGGGCAGGTTTCCATGGTGGAGAGGTGGGGGGGGAAGAAGGGCGGGGGCGGTGCCGCCCCTTGGACGAGCTGTAGAGAGGCAGCTGACAGGAGAGCTGCGCCCGGCAGCGCGGACCCCGCGGGGGTCTCCCCCCAAAATCCGGCTGCTGCCGGGGAGAGGTGGGGCCGAGCATCCCCCGCCCGCGGGTTCGCGCGTGTGTGTCTCGCCGTGCTGGGTGCGCGCATCGCTCCGTCCCTGAGCGCGCCCGCGCTGGCGCTGTGTCTGCGTGTCTGTGTGTCTCCGTGTCCCTGCGTGTGCCCGTGCGTGTCTGCGTGTGCCCCTCCGTGTCACCCCGTGTGCTCGTGCCCCTCCCCGTCCCCCCGGTGTGTGTGCGTGTGTGTGCAGAGCCGCGCAGCCCCGCGGTGCCCCCCGGCTCCGCGGGAGGAGCCGCTCCGGGAGCTGCGGCCGCCCCGAGGCGCAACAGGCGGATGGCGGCGGGCGGCGGGCGCTGAAGGCGAGCGGGGCGAGGCGGAGGGAGCGGACCGGGCGGGATGCGGGCGGAGGAGCCGCTGGCGCTGGCGGCCCCGCGGGCGGGCGAGGCGGAGGCGGAGGCGCCGGGCGAGGAGCGGAGCGCCGGCGGCGGCAGCTGCTGCAGCAGCGAGCGGCTGGTGATCAACATCTCCGGGCTGCGGTTCGAGACGCAGCTGCGGACCCTCTCCATCTTCCCCGACACGCTGCTGGGCGACCCCAGCCGCCGGGTGCGCTACTTCGACCCGCTCCGCAACGAGTACTTCTTCGACCGCAACCGGCCCAGCTTCGACGCCATCCTCTACTATTACCAGTCCGGGGGGCGGCTCCGCCGGCCGGTCCATGTGCCTCTCGACATCTTCCTGGAGGAGATCCGCTTCTACCAGCTGGGCCAGGAGGCCATCGAAACCTTCCGGGAGGACGAGGGTTTCATCCAAGAGGAGGAGAAGCCCCTGCCCCAGCACCACTTCCAGCGTCAGGTCTGGCTGCTCTTTGAGTACCCCGAGAGCTCTGGGCCGGCCCGCGCCATCGCCATCGTCTCCGTGCTGGTCATCCTCATCTCCATCGTCATCTTCTGCCTGGAGACCCTGCCGGAGTTCCGCCAGGAGCCCAAGGGCGCCCAGCCTGGCTTCGGGGAGACAGCACCGCTCGGCGACGAGGCGCTGCTGCTGCCGCCGCCGCCGCCCCCGAGCGGGACCCCGCCGCCCCTGCGCCCTGCCGCCGGCGCCGGCCCCTTCTTCACGGACCCCTTCTTCCTCATCGAGACCCTGTGCATCATCTGGTTCTCCTTTGAGCTCCTCGTGCGCTTCTTCGCCTGCCCCAGCAAGCCCGAGTTCTCCCGCAACATCATGAACATCATCGACATCGTGGCCATCATCCCCTACTTCATTACCCTGGGCACCGAGCTGGCCCAGCAGCAGCAGCAGAAGCAACAATCTGGGGGCAGCAGCAACAACGGGGGCCAGCAGCAAGCCATGTCCCTGGCCATACTCAGGGTCATCCGTCTGGTCAGAGTCTTCAGGATCTTCAAGCTCTCCAGGCACTCCAAGGGGCTTCAGATCTTAGGGAAGACTCTCCAGGCCAGCATGAGGGAGCTGGGCCTCCTCATCTTCTTCCTCTTCATCGGGGTGATCCTCTTCTCCAGCGCTGTCTACTTTGCAGAGACTGATGACCCTGACTCCCTGTTCACCAGCATCCCTGATGCTTTTTGGTGGGCAGTGGTGTCCATGACCACCGTGGGCTACGGGGACATGTATCCCATGACCATTGGTGGCAAGATTGTGGGCTCCTTGTGTGCCATTGCAGGTGTGCTCACCATCGCCCTCCCTGTCCCTGTCATTGTGTCCAACTTCAACTACTTCTACCACCGAGAGACTGATCATGAGGAGCAGTGCCAGTACACCCACGTCACCTGTGGCCAGCAACAGTCACCTTTCTTTGAGCCTAAGAAGGGGGACAGTAATCAGTCTCTCAGCAAATCTGAATTCCTGGAAGCAGAAGACCTGGAGTCCATGAAATACTCCAACTTCATTCCTCCCAGTAACCAGGGTTTTAAAGAGAAGAAGATGCTGACAGAGGTGTGATCAGTTATGTTCTCCTGAGTCCAGACATGGAGCTGCGAGCTGCTGTACAGCCGCCTTCCTACAAGCAGCTGGATCTATTCAGCATTTACATGCCAGACTGTGAATTGTGATACCGTAAACAGAATGATTGTGATAATGGGCTCTTCTGTCCTGATTTGCTGTTTCTCATTACTGTGTGAGGCCAGAAGTGTTCTTGCTTTATTCCGTGGAGTGCTAGCTGTCATCCCTACTCCCCTGTGAATTTCTTTCTCTGCTTTTGAAGACTGCTTTTAACCCAACATTTGCTCTGAAACCAAGCATTGTTACTCCACTGGCAGAGAAGCCCTTGCCACTACTTCGGCTGAAGGATTCCGCAGAGTGAACAGTTAAAGGGGCCGCAAACATCTGGCTCAAGCTGTGCCCTTGGTTCCTGTGCCGGCGCGGTGCCCTTGGCCGTGGGATCGGTCACGCCTGCCATGCCATTGCCTTTGAATAATGGAAACGCTGCAGCCAGGAGCACAGCGAGCTCTGCAGCTGTAGGGGAGAGTCAGCAAGCAGATGCCTGCCTTCTTTGCAACCCTTGGCACGCTAAAGATCCTCTTTTTGGTTTCTGTTTCAAGAAAAAAAAAAAAAAGGTGCATAGATCTGAAGGCTCTTTTGCTGCTTGTCACCGTATATACCATGTATCAAAAACAGGCTTGTAGCAGTCAACAGTATTGGTGATGATTCTCTGTATTTTGAGCTTATCTCAGCCTTATTTATGCCAGTGCCCTGATGTGAATTGGCCTTTGTAGTACCAACTTAATCTTCATAGTGGTAAGTGCCTTCTGATGCAAGGCGCATTTGAGTAAATTCATTTGTTATCTCCACACAATAGCGTTTAATAAGATGTACTTTATGCCTCAGATACCCAGCTCTGTATTTGGGCATGTGAGAGCAGTTGACTCCACTGCTTTTTTTCATCGAGCATTCGTACAGCTGAGGGAAGTTTGCATGGTAGTATTTTGTTGACAAGGCTGAAAAATTCTGACCACAGGCAGCTGCACCTGTGCTGTGGGAGGATCTCAATGGTTTAATGACTCACAGGCATAAATTGCCTCAGGGTAAGTGTGTTAACATTTGAGACTGTGGTTACAAACTTCCCTAAGCTATCTGCACAAACCCAACGGTTTCAAATAAGGGGAGAAGCAACCAGCCTTGAAGGGATGCTTTTGCTGTATGACTGATCCAGCCAGTGTTTGGTGTTCCATGGATAGAAGGGACAGCAGCGTTTTTTGCACTGGGTTTTATGACAGCAGTGTATGCCAGCAATGCAAGATATGCATAGCTTGGCCTGCAGTGCCAGGTTTGCCAAGGGACCAGAGATTTGTGTCTTAAGATGCACATTTTGCTTCTGAGATCATTGAATTAGTTTCAGTCAGCTCTGCCTTACATCTAACTTTAAAATGTTTCAACTGCTGCCAGCAGGTGAAAAGGGGGAATGGATGCTTTCAGATTCTACTGGCAAATTATTCTGCAAGGAAAAGCCTTTCTTGTTTTAAATCTAAGTGTATACTTTGCATTCACATGTCTGCATGTGTATGAAAGCAAAGGCAGCCGTTAATGCCTTGCATGACCTTGTATGATATGCATATTAGAATGTACTACATATTGCATGTGACGCATGGAACGCATAAACCAGACATAATATCCATGTGCAAAATACATAGAATGCATTTTATGTATATATAATGCTTTTCAACCATAAGACTAAGAATGCTAAAGGCATATCATAGAATCGTAGAATGGCCTGGGTTGGGAGGGACCTAAAAGATCATCTGGTTCCAACCCTTCTGCTGTGGACAGGGACACCTTCCACTAGATCAGGTTGCTCAGAGCTCCATCCATATACTTTAATATAGTTAGAACTGGCTGTGAGAAGGGATCTGTTTGCATCTTCATTACCCTGCCTGTTTTCAGTCATCTTGAGGTATGGCTCCATGCCTGGAGTGCTTTTACTGTGGCCTCTCCTCATCTGGGCCCTGGTCATATGGTAGAAGTTGTTTGTGCAAATCCTGACTCTGCTCCATTTCTCCAGAGCCCTGTTATCCTCTCCAAGGTTTTTAGCATGCGGGGATCTCCCGTGGGGTCAGCACACAACCTTGTATTAAAATCTCTGTTCTCTCTCTCTCTGAAATCGGGAGGAAAATGGCACTTGTGTCAGTCTGGGAGATACAGGCATGGTGTGGTGAAGGCTCGTAGCTCAGAGGAGTGTGCCTGAATAATGTATAATTTCTCTTTGCTTCCTTGGGATTGAGGCAAAGGTTTGTGGAGCTCTGGGCCTTGGGAGCCATTCTGCATCCCTCGAAGAGTGTAATCAGCTGGTGGGTAAGTTGTCCTGGTGAATTAGTGGGACTGAGGAAGGATCAGCATGGTGGCATCTCTGTTGATTTTGTCTAAAAGGACCCAAGTCCAGGTCATTGAGTTTATTGAGTAAAAATCTGGTGGTGTTGTTAGTTGTGTTTCAGAGTCACTACAATGAAATCTTTACTGTGAGGGCAAGAGAGGGACTTCCCTTCGAATTTCATGTTGCTGGAAACCAGCAAAAGAACCTGCTGTTTAAGAGGAATGTTTCAAGGCTGCTGCCCTATCCTAGCAGAATGCCCATGTTTGGGGATATTTTATGCCTGAGTATATCAGCTGATAGAAGTTTCCCCGAAGTAAGATATAAAAAACTCAGGTTAAAACATAAGTTCAGGAGGAGTCATGAGACGCGTGCTGAGCCTGTGTCAGAAAATTCCTGTGCTCGTTTCTTCCCGTCAGCCTGGCCCCGTTGCCCCTGCCAGGCAGGAGCCCTCCCTGCTCAGAACAGGTTGTTCTCCTGACCAACTTGACAGACATCTGGCCATGGAGACTCCGGCAAAAAAAGAGATTTCCTGTTCTCTGGTGAAATTCAGCAGTGAGTTTCTAGTGGGTTTCAAAAGTCTTCATACAGACGAGGGGCATGCATACCCAAGGTGCGAAGGAATTCTGTTGTAAACAGGCAGCTTTGAGCAGATTTTGTCATCCACATTTTTAATTTTTCAAAAGAAAGTGCATGTAAAAATGTGCAAAGCAGGAGTGGTGTTTGTTTCCTGGATTTTCTGTGTTAGAGCGAAGAGAAATGCAAAAAGCTAACAGAAGTGTGGAAATTGTAACCTTGGGAGTCATTTGGGCATGTAAATCCTTCTCTAAGCACCTCCTGAACTGCAGTGAAGTCCCAGAGTCATCAGTAATCCCATATATTATAGAGCTTGTGGAATTTGATATTTTTATTAAGGTTTTGTGGGGGTTTTTTTGTGACCGAAGTGACATAGTGGCACCTGTGCCATCGACTTTACAGAGGTCTCATTGTCACCAAATCACAGAAAGGCTTTCAAGAATTTTACCTCAAGTTCTCAGCCCATAGCACTCACCCCTGAATGTTCAAAATGCAAATCTGTCTTGTTCCTTCTGAAGCTATTTCCTTCTGAAGGTAGAGCACATCCTTGTGAAGCCAAGTAGGCACCTCCAGGGAGTTGTTTCCATAACAACCTCCCGGACTGTTTCTCTCTACGCTGTGACTGTGGCTACAAGCAAAAGCCCTCGTTGGATATTTTGTTTTCAGATATTAGCACCTCATCTTCACAGAGGTTTTCCTTGCTTCCTGAAGATGATCCCATCACCTTGTATCATGTACAACTTTTCCTGTCCAACTTCAGAAGGACAGTTACCAGCCTTTGAGAGAAGGGAGTGCAAACCTGGAGATGGGAAGAGATTTAACTTGTACACAGAGGGGTGGAGAGTGTGTGAAGGGACAATCTGAGCACTCAGTCAAGGAGCTGAGGGACAACTGGCCTGTGGATGTAGAGTCATCTGGGTGCCCAGTGACAGGGCTAAAGCATCACATGAAAAGACCAGAAATTCCTCTTTCAACAGTCTCACTAGGAAATAGTTTTGCAGTGGAAAAGACTATTGTTCCTTCCTTATCCCTTGGCTGGTTTGTGACAATCAGCTCCCCAGAGAATTTTCCCACAGGATGTTTTGCACCAAAGCAGGACAGGGCAGAAATCATCTCCTTGGAGGTGGGGAAGGAAGAAAAAGAATTCTATTGAAGACACAATTTTTTAATTCACTTAAAGGACTGTAAGTGTGAAAGGCATGAAAACCTGTTTTATGATATTTCAAGGTCTGCATTACCAGTAGATTCCTGCACTTCCTTCCAAGATGAAATTCCTATTCTGCTCCTGTGTGGAAAATGTTGGAATTCAGGATTTCTGAGCAATTTTCTGTTTGGCCCTTTTCTTTCATGGATAAAAACTCACTGCTACAGCAGCCATGGGGGTGAAGGTGACTGGACTTGGTGTTCTCTCCTTGGCCCTCTCTTTCAGTGTACAGAGATCTCTATGGAGATAAAGAAGAGTGAGTATAAAGGAAATTCAGGGCAGTAAGAGAGAGGGTAAGGACTGAAGTGTCTTCAGTACAGTGATGGAAAGAACAGCATCAGCCTGGAAAGCAGAGGAATAAACAGCTCCAGCATCAGCTGCTGTAGCTAAAATAGGTAAGGTTTCTTTTTGTTCTATGAAATTAATGACTAAGAATTTCTTGAAACTAATGAGGAAGGATTTTATAATTAAGATTTGCAGCCTAAAGGGAGAATCTGGTTCTAGGTGAAGAAAGAAAGATAATTATACACTACAAAAATATAGTATGAGCCAGATCCTCACCATCTGCTGATTCAAGCTGGCAAAACTCCTTTTAGTACAACTACCTTGGATTATATCGGGCTCCAACTTCAGTCTTCTGCATCAAGTCAAAGCTTATGTACTGTTTGTTAAACTGCTTATTTTTGTTTGTTCTTTTCTTGAGGTCCTGTTTACACCAGGGAAGCATCTGCAGATTACAGCAGGAGTTAACCACAGCTTTCCCAAAAGTGCTCATCTGACTTGAGTCCAAGTAAGTCTACTGAGCTCAGCAAAGTTAAGCTTCTCTTTAAAGTTTATATTGACAGAAGTAAGAGCAGCAGCATTTTGTCTATTTATTTCTTAATGGTGGTAGTATGTGGAGAAATCCACAGGGAAGTTTAAGACTAAAGAAGATCCTGCCCTCAGTGGCAGCCCTGTAAGCACAAGATAGCGCTATTTTACGTTGCTGTAAATGAAAGCACAGCCTTGAGCTCTTCATCTTCCTCTTTGAAGTTGCACTAGAGACAGATCCTATTCTGAAGACATTTGTAGCCATGTTATCAGCAGGTTCACAGTCTAATGCCTGAATTGCAGTCACCTGCTTTACACAGAAGGAGGGGAGCAGGTGTTTGCAGGATGAAAAGACTTAATCCCCTGATGAAAGGAACCTGTGAATGCTGAATGTCCTTAGCTGCCACCAAAGACAGTTGGTGAGGAAATTGCCTGCTAGCTTCAAGAAGGAGCTCTTCTTTTGGAGGGTCAGGTCCTAAGTAACACACGACCCAGCCAGGGAGATAAATCCAGAATAATGTTTTTTTTGGGAAAGCAGACAGAGACTGCACTAATTGTTTTCAAGTGTAGCTTATGCTGTTAGTACCTGTTAATTCCACATGCTTTCCATGGGTTTTCCTGTGATCCAGGAAAGTCTGTCTGGGGCTTGTTGGCTGATACAAGAGCTTGCATATCATAGCATGGTTTTACACTGTGGGAAACACATGCCTGTGATCAGTGTGGGTTTTACATTGCCAAAGCATAAACGTTCACTGATAAACCCTCACCATTGGGAATATCCACGTTGTCTGTAGTGCAAATTAATAAGAGGGGCTGAAGCAATGTGCAAGTACTCGTTAGTGAAAAGAAAGACAGGATTTACAGAAGAGAAAGTGCTCATCAGCTTTCATGGTCACCCCAAATACTGAAGCTGTGTTGACTATTAGAGACAAGATCTATGGGAAACTTTTGTCTTATCCTTGAAGATTCAGTAAGTCCTTCTTTGGCTTTATTTTCAGTAAGATATTTATTCAGTGGTATAAAGTTTGGGAAGGCTCTTAGTCAAAAAATGTTGTAAATCACAAATTAATCCATTTAATTACCAAATTCAGCTGTTGTTTGTTTAAAGAAAACTGAGGTCTCAATTCTGCTCTCTACTTAAGGTTAGATAAATACTTTCTTAAGAATATGAGTGGTATGACTCCTAATTTAAGTGTGAGAGAAGAATCAGGCCCAAAGAAGAGGGTTGTAAATGCAGATGACAAGAGTAAATCTCTTCAGGTATTGCAGATACACATTCCATTCACCTGAAAGGTTGTATACAATTTTACACCAGCAAAAGGCTTAGTTTTTAGAGTACATATTGGTGTATACTCCAGTATATGTTGGTGTATAATCTTACATTCTTTGGAGGGAAATTAAATGGTATTTTACAAGAAAACTGGAGCATTACCCTCTCTTCTTGCTGCTCCTTGATGCATCTGTTGTTTTCAATTAGCTTGATGGCATCCATTTTCAGAAAGCAGATGCTGCCCTCTTTTACACGGGTGCAATTCTGGAATAACTCCACTGACGTCAGTGAAGTGACTCCAAATTTATCCCTGTTGAAAGCAGAACTGGACCACAGTCCTTTTGTCTGCGTGTCTGCTATGGAGCTCTCAGGAAGGTGTGCCGTTGTCACACCATAAGGTGGAGGCAAGTGCCTGCGTGCTGTGCCATGCTCAGCTCTTTTGTATCCTTGACATCACACTCACATGCCAGGGCTGGAGCAGAATCCAGGCTAGTGAGAGGCTTGTGTGGTCATCAGGTTCCTCATGCAAAGTGCTAGTCCTAAATTCTTGACTGTTCTCCCATCCCGGTTTGCATTGGTTTCCTCTTGCTTGGATGTTTTCTGTGTGGATACAGAGTGTTTTAAGCCATAGAAATGTGATTGTGAGTCTTAAATAATATAACAACAGAAGGGTGGCAGAGGTAGATGTGGAGACAAACTCTACCCCTCCTACAGGTTTTTGCTGTTAGAGCTACGTGAAAATTGCTGCAGTCGTGGTAGGTTGGCTGTACATCTGCTGGTTTCAGAGTCTCTGCTTTGAGGGAATACTAAGTTTAAACAAATTGGGCTACATCTTTCCTGCTCTTAACTCTTTGGGTCTTGGTCATGCCTTCCCTGAAACTGGACAGCAAGCTTCATAGGCTGTACAGAAAAATGCTACATGAGATGGGAGAGGTCAGGGTTAATAGAAAAAATAGAGGAATAGAATCACAGAATGATTAGGGATGGAAGGGACTTTAAAGATCATCTAGTTCCGTGGGCAGGGACACCTTCCACCAGACCAGGTTGCTCAGAGCCCCATCCAACCTGGCCTTCAACACTTCCAGGGATGGGGCAGCCACAGCTTCTCTGGGCAACCTGTGCCAGGGCCTCACCACCCTCACAGGGAAGAAGTTCATCCTACTATCCAATCTAAACCTACTCTCTGTCAGTTTTAAGCCATTGCCCCTTGTTCTGTCACTCCAGGCCCTTGGAAATAGTCTCTCTCCATCTTGCTTGTGGGCTTTCTTCAGGTCCTGGAAGGCCACAATTAGGTCACCTCAAAGCTTCTCTTCTCCAGGCTGAACAATCCCAACTCTCTCAGCCTTTCCTCACAGCAGAGCTGCTCCATCCCTCTGATCATCTTAGTGTCCCTCCTCTGGACTTGCTGCAAGAGCTCCATGTCCTTGCTATGCTGGGCCCCCAGAGCTGGAGGCAGCTCTGCAGGGTGGGTCTCCCCAGGGTGGGGCAGAGGGGCAGAATCACCTCCCTTGATCCATTCTCTGAGCCAGTAAAAAACAGAGTAAAGATGTTCCTCAAGGATTAGTCCTGGGATTGTTCAGAATATTAGCAGTAGAGCTGAGACTACAAAATTTGGCAGTGAAGTAACCTAAGTGTCATCTTCAAGACTGTGGATTAGGACACAGACCTGGATGACCGAATAATTGACTTTAAAGAAATGGAAATATATTAAATAGCACAGAAATTATTGTTGTAGAGATTTTGGTGGAAGACAGACAGAAAGAAAGATTGGGGATGCTTAGATCAGCCAGAGTGCCAGTGTCACTTACTGAGCCACCAGAGTAATGCAGCCATAAAAATTGCAGGTGCAAGTCTTTGGAAGTCTCCGAAGAAGCATATTCAGTATCACCTGGGAAGTATTAATTTTGTAAGGCCTCATCTGGAATGCTGTGTGAATGGCTGGTGGCCTAAATTTGGTCAGGAAGGATGCACAGAAGAAGAGCAAGAACAATCAGGTGAATGGAAATTGCTTTGCAAATGGAGCTGGAGGAGGCTGACTTTTCTAGGCTAGGAAAAGATGGACAAGACTCCTCTAGTCAAGAAAATACTGGGGGCAAAGTAAACAAAAGCGAAGAAAGAGCTGAGAAATTTTAAGATCTTCCCCCATATCTTGTGTCCTCCAGCTTGTTTGACGTAGTGCACCCATTTACCTACAAAACACCAAGTCCTGGTGATTTTATTATTTAATACTTGGGGTTTGTGGGTAGGAGGCAGAACTAGGGGAGGAGCTGTGAGTCTTGGGAGGTGTTTTTTCTTGATGTGACTGGGAGAAGAGAAGGAGGTCCTAGGAGTGGGGTATGGTGGGGCAAGGAATACCAGATCACTCTAGGAACCACTCTAGAGACACAGAGGAAGTTCATACCCCTTTAAGTCTTACCAAACTTGCGCTTCCCCTCAACCTGGAACTGCTGCTGACCTCATCTAGTCTTTTCTCCCTATCCAGAGCTCTCCAGCCCTATGCTGATCTTCCTTCTTCTTGGAGTTTCTGGTCATTCCTCAACTACCATGAGCTCCCTGGAATCACAGGAACAATGCACCTCTTGTTGAGAAAAGCCTCGAGTCAGCTCTGCTGCAGCTCCGTCAGGTTCTCTGATTTGAGCAACCTGGTCTAATGGGAGGTGTCCCTGCCCATGGCAAGGGTTTGGAAGGAGATGATCCTTCCAAAGGAAGGTCCCTTCCAACCCAAACCACTCTATGATTCTATGATTTGTATGAAGAAATGGTCAGTGATGCATGGTCTTCAACAACTGTCGTTCACAGAATTGTTGAAAAAGATCTCCAAGATCATCAGGTCCAACCTTCAGTCAAATATCACAATGCCCAATGAACCATTTCATGAAGGTCCATATCCACTTTCTTTGAATACTTCCAGGGATGGTGACTCCACTTCCCTGGGCAGCCCATTTTAATGCTTAACCACTCTTGCAGTGAAGAAATTTTCCTAATATCCAACCTGAACCTCCCATGGTGCAACCTGGGGCCATTTCCCCCGGTCCTACTGCTGGTTGCCTGGGAGAAGAGGCTGATCCCACCTTGCCACATCCTCCTTTCAGGGAGCTGTAGAGAGCAGTACTGTTGAATGGATTTACCTATTACCTGGTGTCAGATAGCCAAACCTAGGACATCTACTTTAGCATTGTAGTTTTTGTTCAGATAAGTATCACAAATCTATATTTCTTAAGCTCTAGATTATTCTCATATTTTAATGTATCAATTCTCTTAGGTACATTCCTTTTAATACTGTAGACTGTGGGCTTTCATGCTTACAAAATAATGCCCTCAAAGCAATTGATCTTTGTAGTCTGTCCTTGGAAATGGTGCTGTGACTTTCAGAAACATTTTGGAGGGTATTCAGTATTGCTTATACATTAGTCTTTTATGTGATGATCTACTACAGCTTTCAGCAGTGGATTGTAAACATTTCTCTAGGACATATTTCCATCAAAAGGTGCCCCTTCCTCAAAATCAGAAATATTTGTGAGAGAGCTTTTGTTTCAGCTCATTTTGGTGTTCTTTACAAAAGGCATGTTTGGAAAATTTTGCAATGTGCATGATCATTTTCTTAATGTTCCCTCTGAATATTTGTCCTTTTTAAATGTTTTTTAAGAAAGTGTATGTAAAGAAGGTAAAATACAAAATTTTACATTCGTGTCTTATATATGTGGATCTAT